GTCATCCAGGGTACCCAAACCAAATTCTAAATACTTCTCGTCACTTGATTATCTACTCTTAACAGATTACGGAGAGCCGGAGTGTTATGAAGAGGCAGTGCAAGTGAGTGAATCACAGTAGTGGGAGCATGCGATGCAGGAGGAGATGAATTCTCTACTCACTAATGAGACATGGGAGTTAGCCCAGCTACCTGCGCAGAAGAAAGCCTTGCACAATAAATGGGTCTACCGGGTCAAATAGGAGAGTGATGGAAGCAAGAGGTATAAGGTCAGACTAGTCGTGAAGGGGTTTTAACAGCGATAAGGAGTGGACTACACGGAAACATTTTAGCCTGTTGTGAAGCTCACTACCATCAGAGTGGTGTTGAGCTTAGTGGCGGTAGAAGATCTTTTTTTTGAGCAGTTGGATGTGAAGACTGCCTTTCTTCATAGTGACTTGGATGAAGAAATCTATATGAAGCAGCCTGTTGGCTTTATTGAAGAAGGAAAGGAAGAGATGGTGTGCAAGCTCAAGAAGAGCTTATTTGGCTTTATTGAAGAAGGAAAGGAAGAGATGGTGTGCAAGCTCAAGAAGAGCTTATATGGTTTGAAACGGGATCCGAGACAGTGGTATAAGAAGTTTGATAACTTCATGCAGAACAATGGCTACAGAAGATGCAATTCAGATCATTGTTGTTATTTCAAAATGTTCGAGTCCAGCTTCATTATTTTGTTATTATATGTTGATGACATGTTGGTAGCAGGACCGTGTTTAGAGGAGATAAACAGTTTGAAGAGGCAGCTAGCAAAGGAATTTGCAATGAAGGATCTGGGTGCAGCGAAGCAGATTCTAGGGATGCGAATCAGTAGGGAAGAAGCTGAAGGGACATTGAGATTGAGCCAAGCTGAATACATTAAGAAGGTTCCGAGGTTCAACATGTAGAATGCTAAAGTTGTTAGTACACCCCTTAGAAGTCAGTTCAACCTATCTGAGGAGCAATCGCCTAAGACAAATGCAGATAGAGAGCATATGAGCAGGGTGTCATATTCTTCGGCCATTGGGAGTCTCATGTATGCGATGGTTTGCACGAGGCCGGACATCACCCATGCAGTGGGAGTTGTGAGCATATTTGCAAGCAATCTAGGGAAGCAGCATTGGGAGGCCGTGAAGTGGATAATGCGGTACTTGAGGGGGACAACAAACAAACCACTATGTTTCAGGAGGAAGGAGTTGGTGCTGCAGGGATACGTGGATACGGACTTCGCCGGTGATCATGATACAAGGCAAAGCACCACGGGGTATGTATATACCTTAGCGTCGACAGCAGTGAGCTGGGTCTTACGTCTGCAGAAGATTGTGACTTTGTCTACAACTGAGGCTGAGTATGTCGTGGTGACTGAAGCAAGCAAGGAGATGATCTGGTTGAACGGGTGCGTCTACAACTGAGGCTGAGTATGTCGTGGTGACTGAAGCAAGCAAGGAGATGATCTGGTTGAACGGGTGCTTGGAAGAGTTGGATCTAAAGCAAGGGAGAGGAGTACTTTATTGTGATAGCCAGAGCGCTATACATCTTGTCAAGAATCTAGTATATTATGCCAGAACGAAGCATATCGATGTACGATACCATTTCATACGCTCGCTGATCGAGGACGGAAAGTTACACTTAATGAAAAATTTTTAGGAAGTCAAAATCCGACGGACATGTTGACAAAGACAGTCACTATTAAGAAACTGGAGTTGTGCGCAACTTCAGTTGGTCTTCATGAGTAGAAGACGAAGGCGGAGCCACACTACAAGGATCTGCGCGATCGTCAGGATGTTGATTGAAGAAAGAATTTTTTTCAGGGAAAAGATACATGCGAAGAAGGGGAGAGTTCGGGTGAGCTCATTGATGGCGCTTTGGTCTCCAAGTGGGAGATTGTTAGGCTAAGTGTGTAGACCCGAAGCTGCAATCGAAAAGACAAAGAAAACAAGTGGCAGAGCCGGTCGACCGCGTGCACTACAGGAGACTGAGAAGATTTTTTTGCTCTGGTCGGTCGACCGGCGTGACCGCTACGGTCGACCGATATCGTGCACGAGACACTGTAATGAATTTTTTCTCTGGCCGGTCGACCGACCTTGGTAAAGCGGTCGACCGCGACGTTGTTTCCCTATTTCCTATCATGTTTAGGAATTCTATTTGGCTGGGATTTGTTATAAATACCCAAACGTTTTTAGGGTTTGTAAGACACAAAAAAGAGAGCTTTTTGACTGCAAAAAAGAGAGAGAATCTTAGAGAGATAAAACCCTAGTTTGAGAGCTTGTATTCTTCTTCAATTAATAAAAAAGATTGTGTGGTGTGGCTCCCGAGGACGTAGGCACGTTGCCGAACCTCGTTAAATCTGTGTGTTCGTCTCCTTTACTATTTTTGCAAGGTTAGATCTTTATTTGTGGTATTATTTCTATTTTTCTACTTTCAACACAAGGTCCGGAATGGCAAGGGTTCGATTGATTGCTTTGAATCCCCAACAAGATTTTCCCACCATATTAAGTTAAAGATTTGCTCATGACAGGTAATAATTGGTAGGAGGGATCAATTGTGATTTGAACCATTCATTGATAAATTTTTCATTTACTATTTTTCCTTGATTTCGTTTTGAAGTTTTATTAAATGCATTATATTCATCTTGGTTGACCTTCGATTTGATAAGCTAAGTATGTGCAAATCAGGCTGGTTCTTATTTGGACAAACATGACAAAATTTGGTCCGATCTACCTACTTCACTAAAATGTGATAGAATATCATTTATCGTTTATGTTTTTCTTCTCGTTAGTATTAGAAAAACTATTCAATTAAGAACAGGATTTTGTTTGATTTACTGACTGACTAAAACTTGATGGAATAATGATTTCTTTTCTCTTTTTTCTTATTTTAATTTGTATGAAAAAATTATTTGGTTAAGAAACATAAAATGTGTACGCTATTTATGGAAAAATAATGTGTACGCTTAACACAGGAGGGGTTTCTTCATTATAAGTAAGTAGATAGCATGAGAGATTTTCCTATGACCATATTAAGCTAAAGATATGCTCATGGCATGTAATAATTGGTAAGAGGGATCAATTGCGATTTGAACCATTCACTGAAAAATTGTTTATTTACTATTTTTCCTTGATTTCATTTTGTAGTTTTATTAAATGCATTATATTCCTCTTAATTGACCTTCAATCTAATAAGCTAAATACGTGTAAATCAGGCTGGTTCTTATTTGGACTAACATGACAAGATTTAGTCTAATCTACCTACTTCAATAAAATGTGATAGAATATCATTTATCGTTTATGTTTTTCTCCCTGTTAGTATTAGAAAAACTATTCAATTACGAAGCAGGATTTTGTTTGATTTACTTACTGACTAAAACTTGATGGAATAATGATTTCTTTTTTCTTATTTCAATTAGTATGAAAAAATTATTTGGTTAAGAATCATAAAATATGTACGCTATTTATGGAAAAATAATGTGTATGCTTAGGGGGTGTTTAGTGTGATTTGAAAGTACATAGGGGCTCAGAGTTCATAAGGGTTTAGTATAATTTACCCTATTAAATAATTATAAGGAGAAGTAACCATCATAATATGTTGTTGGTACTAAGTTTAACTACCTAAGGAACATCAGAAAAAAGCTAGCAAGATCAATGCAGCTTAGTTAATTTAGAGTTAAGTTAACAACTTTCAAGTTAGAGAAGCATATTTATTAGAACTTATAGATTTGATAAACTTATTTAAGAACAATTGTAGATTTGGGGGACTTATTAAAAAAATTTAGCACTAGACGATCATTATAATAAAAGTATTCAATTACAATAAGTACACAATAATAATTAATTCATACAGTTCTTTCTAAGCAATCTTATTATACAATTTCATTTATTAATACATAATTTTACTATTCAATAAAAAATTCAAAACATAAAACATGTACGTTCACGTGCAAAGCACGTGCATTATACTAATATATACTAAATGACACTTGAGTTTGTTAAACATAAGCTAAATATAAGAAGAATGTATAGGCAATAGTTAACTTAGAAATGCTTGATGAATTGACAACACCGGATTGGGGACCAACGGCTAGATTTCTAGCCATTGAGTGGTCTGGTCCTGGTTTTTAACCTGGAATTTCCCCAAACGACTAGATATCTAGCCATTGGGATGGGGTCAAGTCTAGGCTGTCCAAACCTGGACCGAGGTCCGTAGATCAGAGCCTGACCTAGTCCATACATGGTCGGGCACTAGTGAAGGTGCTTGTGACGAATCCTGGCTTCCAAATCTTTATTTTTTGGGCTCAGCCCGGGTCCAAGCCCGAGCAAAACCTTATCGAGTTATTGGCCGAGCGTGCACCGCGACCTTTTTGCATAGCCCAAGAGCTCAGAATTTCTTAAAAAAATTATAAATTGTCCATTCACTATTTTTCCTTGATTTCGTTTTGCAGTTGTATTAAATGCATTATATTCCTCTTGGTTGACCTTCGATTTGATAAGCTAAATACGTGCAAATCAGACCGGTTCTTATTTGGACTAAAATGACAAGATTTGGTCTGATCTACCTACTTCACTAAAATGTGATAGAATATCATTTATTGCAGGATTTTGTTTGATTTACTTACTGACTAAAACTTGATGGAATTATGATTTCTTTTCTCTATTTTCTTATTTCAATTAGTATGAAAAAACTTATTTGGTTAAGAAACATAAAATGTGTACGCTATTTATGGAAAAAAATGTGTACGCATTAATTACATAGAAAGGGTTTCTTCATTATAAGTAAGTAGATAGCATGAGAGATTTTCCCACCATATTAAGCTAAAGATTTGCTCATGACAGGTAATAATTGGTAGGAGGGATCAATTGTGGTTTGAACCATTCATGGAATGTTGACAAGACAATAAATACACATTAATTACTTGACAAATACGAGCCTACCGATTGCTCAGCTGCCAAAAGAAGATTAATTTCTCGTGGATTAGATAAGGTCTCCTTTCACATAAAACTGAAGCCAATACAAAAACAATGAAGGCATTTCCTTCTGTCCTTGTTGCTCTCCTCCTCCTCAGTCTATTCTCAGTTGATGCCACTCTTGAAGAAACATGCAAGGAATTAGCCAAACCAGAGCATGAAATTAACTTCGACTTCTGTATGACGACCCTTCAAGTTGTTCCAGGAAGCGATAAAGCTGACGATCTAGGTATGTTAATCCCTAATCTACATCTCTTCTCGGATATTCAACTTTCTGATCTTTTATTATTTATATACTATAGTGTATGGGTGGTTTTTTTTAAAGGATTAAATTGAGACCGATGAACGACAATAATGGAGAAATTAGAGACTTTTCAATTCCCACCTAATTGAAGAGGACCCGGATCCTTTAGAAAATTATCGTGAACCTCTTTACTTTAGCCCACTAAAAGTGGTAAAATTTTAATGTAGGAGTATAATTAGGACTTCAGTGCAAAAAGTTAGATTTTAGGGGATATACTCTAAGAACTGTGTGTTAGATTTTAGGGGATATACTCTAAGAACTGTGTAACTTAACTAAAGAAACGAAATCGCGCAAGCAATTTCAATGATTTGAGATAGAAATCTCTTAAATGGAAGATTTGAACGACCAATGGTTTCAGATATTAATAATAACAAATTAGTAATCGCTTTTTTTCCCCCTTTTATCAGGTCTTACCATTATAGCAGCGAACTTAACCTACATCAACTTCACGCACAACCAAGCTAAGGCCGAGGAGCTGATAAACGACAAGAACGTGTCCGAGGAGGACAAAAAGAGTCTTGCTGTCTGTCACGAACTCTACGACCTGGGCGCTTACACGCTACTTCACTATGTCATTAAGGATCTCGGGTCTCCGCCTATCGATTTTGATAAGTTGAAGGTCGATTTGAGTGGTGTATGGGACGATGCTAGCACGTGCAACGATACTTGGAATGAGGGGAAGCAGAAGTCTCTAATGGCTAAAGAAGACGACGATGCTTATAAAATTAGCAACCTCGCACTCTCTGTTTCTACTTTGATTCATCACTGACTGCTTGGTTAATTTATTTGAAGGCTAATGGTGTCGATTTGGTGAGAAAGCTGACATTTTGTCAGAAATAATTACAGGAAAAAAAAAGAAAAAAAAATAATCTCCCAGAAAGCTTACGGTTACCTCCCACTTCTCGTCTCTTTCTTCTTTCTCTTTTTTCCTCTCGTCCAAATGCATACTGTTCTGAAGTCCAAAAAATATTAATAATAATAAAGATGGCCTGTTTCTCCTTCCTTCATCCTCTTATGTCCATTGAAACCTCCAATGGAGTTAGGACAGTGAAAGGAAAACTCAAACCCGAATCACCTCTTCCTCTCACACTCCATCTTGACACTCGACAAAAATGAGAAACGAAAATTGGGATTTTGAAGGATTATTATCAAAGCTCGTAAGCATCATGAATCAAACCTCTCACACTTGCTTCTTTTTGGATTTTACCTTGTTCCCTTCACCGATATTTTTAGTTGGGAATTGGATGGTCAAATCCTTAACATTTTCTTAGTTGAAATCATTTGGTGCAACATGGTTTTTACCTTGTCTAAGATGAAAATTGAAAGAGATGATGTTGGTTGTGGTGGTGGTGATGACAAAGAAGATGGATGGAGAGTCTAACTGAATTTTTACCAAGTATAACATGAGAAGTTGATCATGTTTTGCTCAATTTGAGATAAATATGTAAATTTTAGCTTGTTAGGGTTGAATTTTTATCCTCTACATTGATCTCACGTTATGGATTCGCTTATCGTAACTTTTGAAAACTCACCCTAAGGATTGGGAGCACTTTATTGAAATTTATCTTAAATATGTCAATATGTAAATTAAATCTATACTACTTATAAAAGAGAATACCCATGTATAAACTGTTGATTTCCTTTTTTACCCTCTTAATTTTTTTATAACTCACAATTATATCATTATGTATAAAACTAATGATCCATAACCTCTTATTAACTATGCACCTCTTTATTTTCTCAAATTATTTCATCATTCACTAGAATATATTAATAATTTATAATGATAAAAAAATTCATAAACATATGATATTTTATTATAAGAATTATTAATTATATAAAATAGAAAAAATTATTTATTTAATATATTATTGTACATTAATTATAATTACTAATAATAGTATAAATAGGGTTATATCTTTTTATTGTAAAAAATATTACCTTGTTTTGATAATTAATATCATCTTAGTAATAAAATGTTTGGATCAGAAATTGATGTTTTCATTGTCATCGAATCTATTACAACTTCAGTCTTTACAATAAACTCAAATAAAAAAGTTGATCTTTTTATAAGATCTCCTTAAACAATGAAAATGAAAGATTACAATTTCTTCAAACAACACACAATAGATGTTTATCGCCTATTGTTTGCGTGGGAACTTTGTTTGTGCCGGGGACGTTAATATCCGTGGACCACCGCAGATCATATCCGGTTGACAGATTGATAATCAAAGCTCCTACTTCACGAAGAAAATATTTGCAGAAGTGGTAATCCCGACCAAGCGAGATTACGACTCTTCTCGAGATTAAGACCAAGCTTAAATCCGAAAGAATGGGGGAACCAGACCTCAGATCTCTCGAACTCTTTTTTTTATTGAGGAACATCGCCAAGATCTGCTAACCCTCTGAAATTCGTGCTCCACTCTCCAATTTGGCAGCACCTCGCCCTCTTGACCTCCGCCCCTTAGAAATAAGCCCCTAGGCCTGTATTTATAGGCTTTGGTTGAGGGTTTTCGGATAAAAACAATGGATTTGGCCTTATCCTCAGTTGACAATCGTGTAACCACATTTAAAGATGATATCTAGGCAATTAGGAACCTCTAGAACAGAAGAAATCTCATAAGAACTTGTCAAAAACCGTCAAAACGTGTTTTTAGCTCAAAACTGGCTGAACCGGGTGCAAAACGAACCGAACTGGTTTGGTTCAGGCGCAAACCACCAATTGGTGGCTCGGCCTGGTGCGAGCCA